CCAAGTCAGAATGTGTCACCTTACCAGATTTATGGCAGTTTTAGCTGATATGTAAACTTGGGAGACATGGCAACACTTTTATGAGGATTTAACATATTGGTACAGTTGACCAGCAAGCACCTGCCATGAGACTGCCTCACTGTAGAGTAAGGTTAGGCCAACATAATTCAATCATTATTCATCCAAATGTCATCCAACTTTGTCTGAATTTTTATCAAGGTATTGTTCAGGCATTTGTATACAATAACTTCATTGGATGTGTTTCACTCAAAGCACACGCATGCATGCATAGGCCCAAAAAGAAGAAAAAAACAGTGATTTTCTTCATCAATAAAGGAACATAGGGACCACAAGGGATGTAGGCAGGGAGTTTCGTGGTCAGGTGGGCTGGGGTTTGAAAATCTTATAATTGATTCATTACAGTCGAAGACGAAGGCTGTGGCATAACAAGGTGTAATGGAGGATGGTGTGAAACCCTCGACTAGAATAGACAGCCAATTAAACATAGATACACAATTAGACACATTGGACCATTGGGAGATGGTGATATCTGTATCTGATGCAAGGGCATTAATAATTGATGCTAGTGTTTCACCTGTTGATGTGGCAGGAAGAGAAGCTGTTACAGTGTTGTAACCGTTAATTGAGTGGTTGCAGACAACACTGCGGTCAGTCCCAGCAGGCAATTTGAGGGTTTTGCAGCTTCCAGACTATTCCAAACGGTATCACTTCATTTCTGATAGGATTGTCATTTTCTGTTAATGTTGGCTATGAAGGCGAAATTAAATACTGAACATGTTTCAAGGAATACTTTAAATCATTCGTGGATAGTTTATCAATATGTATGAAATATGTTTATCAATATGTATGAAATATGTTTATCAATATGTATGAAATATGTTTATCAATATGTATGAAATATCTAATATGTATGAAATATGTTAATCAATATGTATGAAATATGTTAATTAATATGTATGAAATATGTTTAAATATGTTAAATATGTTTATCAATATGTATGAAATATGTTTATCAATATGTATGAAATATGTTAATTAATATGTATGAAATATGTTAATTAATATGTATGAAATATGTTTATCAATATGTATGAAATATGTTTATCAATATGTATGAAATATGTTTATCAATATGTATGAAATATGTTAATTAATATGTATGAAATATGTTAATTAATATGTATGAAATATGTTAATTAATATGTATGAAATATATTTTAATAAAATTTTTTTATCAAAACAACTGACAAAGCAGAGAATGATTTTCCAGGTGTCGATTGAAAGGCAGAAAGATTGTGAGTTTTTTATCTATTTCACAGTGATTGTCTAGTATTTACCTGGTATAGTTGAATTAGAAATGACCAAACCATTTGACTGTGAATGTATATTTGTGAAATGTTTATAGTAATTAAACTAAAAAAACATGACTCTTTAATTAAGATTGAGAGTGGGCTTCAGCTCATACCTTACTCTGGATGAGTTGGTGCCTTGGGTAACGTGTTGACTGATGTCTTTCTGTGAGATGTAAGGTTTAGATGTGAGGCATGTGATCCTCTGCTTCACACTGTTACAGTGTGTAATGCCATTGAAGCATATGTGAATGCATAAAAATATTTCAGTTAAATTAAATAGATAAATTTGAACAGTCTTTAGGGAATGGTAATTTATTGTTGGTGCAGACGGTCATGAAAAAGTGTTACTTGCATTTGTTGGATCAAGAAGCAAATAATAGATTTCATGTCCTTAGAATATGAGAACATGATACTGTTGCTGATAAAATCTCGCTTCCTCCTCTACATCTGTGGAGATTATGGGTGATAATTGTCCTTTCCCCAGTTGGGAGTCTAGTTGCCCAAGGAATTAGACCAATTGGTTTGAGTCGATGATGACTGATTACTAGTCACCAACCCGACCATCAGATCCTTTTATCACCTCTTGTGCATGCATAGTTTTCTGGGGACCTATTAAGTGTATTTTTCTGTTAGTTACTTAAAACAAATCAGTCTGATAATGACCGATCAGCTAATTAGTCAGCTCATATTCAGTGCTTGATGTAACCTATCATGCCTTTACAGGTCGATAAGTCTGATTCTTTATTTTGCCTGCAGTTATGATCAAATTACCTGCTGAAGTTTTGCTCCATTGTCATGTTACCATGGCAACAAGTCAGGTTGTACTATCTGGAATGTAGTGTTTAGAATGAGATGCCAATAGTCAGTACTGCCTTGTCAGCTAATGATATCATGGTCTTCAGGGAGCAGTCATTGAAACATTTCCATGGAACCTGTTAATCAGGGCTTTCACCACGTAAAGTTGATTCTTCTTGCAAGGCACAAATGTGATGACTACTTGTTAGGATAAGCTAGAACATTTAACTAAGCATTACATTACACAGAAGTATGACTTCTGAAGGGCCAAATCTGGTGAATTCAAGGGCTGGCTGTCCCTGTGGTAGTTTTAAGTACTGTTTACCTAATGACTTGAAACCATTATTTGACCCCAACTGTCAATCTCTCTGTTGGACAGAGTTGTAAATGGATCATTGAATCTAAGCACAGATGTGTGGTGAAAAAGACTTTCAGGGTATTTAGTATTGTCACCTGTACATTTCCTTTAACTAGTGCTTTTTTTACCCAATGTTTCCTTCCTCGTCACGCTTATCTGGGAAAATGTTATCGTAATGTGCCAAAATCATAAATACTTGGCCACATATTTCAGGAGCATATGCCACTTGGTCCTCTGTCAGGTCACACACCAGGTAAAGTTCAGCAAAAGTACTACCAACTAGTAACTAGTTACCTGGGTTACCATAGTCGAGAGTTTGGGGGCATTATTTAAATGTAAAAGATCTAATTTATATGAAACTAAGTTGGGAACCTTCGAGTATCCATTATGCTATGAGTCAGCCTGGCTGTCACAAAAATGATAACGATACAAAATGTTTTATTACTGATTGGTTAAACAAATATAAGTGCAGTATATGTTATTTTGAATTTTATGGGAAAATAACTGAGTAGTAATATTTGGTTGCGTCTCATATTTTCCGTCAGAAACACTTATAAGTATTATGGTACCTAATTGGCTGGCATGATCTTGAAAAAATGGAACATATCCCACCTGGGCGGTCAATAAATTTCTGAGGTGGAAAATAAATACATTATACACTGTCATGAAGAAAACAATTTTCACTTTGATACTGTGAATGTTGGAGAGACATTTAACGTCCATTCCTTCACTAATTAGCCCAGCAGAAATGAGGATGTAAGTGCTTGCAATGTATTCTTAATTGAGGATGATCGGAATTCCTGATAATTAGATTTTAAGCTTGATAAGTTGTCTTTGAATGTCAAAGAGGAAATATTTGTTGCCACATATAGCCATCTATAATTGTCCCTTAACTTGCGCAAGTCTCTTAGAAAAGATTATTTGTTTAAATCATAATTCTGAGATTATATGAACCATCAGAACAAGTATTTTGCATAAAAAACTGGCGTCTTATACTGTCTGCTTATGTAGACTTGCCCATTATCAGGGTAGAAATACTAGACATCCATAGATGTAATTCAGTATCATTTGGTTCAGCCTTGTGACTCATCATTCAGTACAGACTGAGCAAGACTAGATTGTCCTTTCAATCTGTCATTTACATATTTGATTGAAAGGAATGTGGTGTCCTAACACAAGCATGGTGAGAAATGGATACTTTCACTTTTACCAAACCATTGGTCTTGCAGGCCAAAGCATAAAGATCACAGAACCTCTGGAGGTCAATGACAGTGAAAGAGTCACATTCCCTTTGCTGCTACTAATTACTCTTGACAACAAATTATGAGGTCTTATTTCCATAACCACCAAGTTACTGTGTAGAAGGCCAGGGGGATCCTTGCAATGGCCCACAAGTTGTATGTTTGAGATTGACAGGGTTTTCAGATTCAAATACAAGACCAACCCCCAACAAAACCCAGAATTTCAACGCTGATTGGTATTGCCGGCCCAAATGGAAAACGTAAAAGAAATGGAGGAAATTTGAGAATCTGGAACCAAACTTTTTACTTTGTCCTTCTAATTACTGAAATTTGTGACCAGAATATAGTGGTACTTTCAAATTTAAACTTCATGCCCCATTTTGTAAATATTCATGTTTTTATCTTTAAATGAAAGAAAAATAATAAATACTGCTGAAACAAAGTTGATGATATTCAAATGTGCTCACCTTTTGGAATGAGTTGCTCGACCTGAGGTGACCAGTATATTGCGTCCACTACCACTTGATGTGGGAACACCACCTTCTCCGGAGTCACAGGAGGCACACCAACCTCCTGGAAGTGTAATGGCGGTTTTGTGAACACCTCTTCCGAAGAGTTTTTCAGATTATCAAACACATTTGTGGGGTTTCTATCTGCAGCATCCTCGTCGTAGTCTTCATCGGGGTCGATGTCGTCATCCTCGTACTCATCCTTGTCATCTTCCTCATCCTCATCCTGTATCACCACCTTCTCGATGTCTTCCTCGTAGGAGTATTCATCGTCAATGTCTTTTCTTCGATTTGGGAACAAAAAATTTATCAACCTTCCTAAACAAAATAGGTTTCTTATCCTTAGCTGCTTTGACGTTCTCTAGAACAATGTCAGGCTGAATTGTCTCCCCTTTCCGCATCAGGACAACTCCCTTGCGTTGACCGTATTCTGAGTCGCGGGCGGCTTGGGGTTTCCTGTCCACCAATGGTAAACCTGCAGCATGGATGTAGTTGTTGTCGTGCTGCTGCGACAGTTGACGCAGCTTCATCCTGTACGCCGAAGGGTTTGCTGCGCTGACATGCATGTCGATGTCTCCATCGGAGGAGTTGAGCTGATGTATCATCACATTGAGCAGTAACACAAAACAGAAACCGAAGGAGAAAATTGTAAGAAAGAGGGTCTTCACCCTCCTCACACTGAAGCTCCTCATGGTGGATGTGCTGGATCTAGATTACGCGCTCGTGGATTGTGTGGATTTCTTGGGATCTGTAATACTGATCATTTTGACTGATTTACACACAGAGAATGATGACCATTTAAAGCTTTGTGTCTTGAATATGTAGAAGACATCCATAGAGCATCCAAGTAACCACATAAACAATGAAACTGTGCACACTTATAACCTGTGATTGCAACGTGCAGTCTTCAACACTATATGATCCTGCCGGTATATAACCCAGTGTATTCCCTTCTTGGCAGGGCCATTACACACAATATCAACCAGGGAGCTCACAGGACCGACTGACTGCCAACACCAGACTGTCCACTTTATTGTCCACTTGGATGGTAATAGGGTGTGTTATACAGATTATTTCCCACAATTGCCCATGTCATTGTATGGTATGTCCAGCTTCTGTTGACTTCCAGCACACCTGCAGGAGACAAGCTTGCATTAGAAACCACTGACCCCTGGTAATGCCACCTATTGTGATCTGCTCGCTGCAGCAGATACATGCCACACAGCACCTCGTTCAGTGTGTCCACTCAAAGGGGCAGTTGACCAGAACCTGTAATTGGGCCTGTCAGACAACAATAGGTAGTTGATGTATTTCCATTCATACCTCTAGCTGGATGGTTCTGTATTCATCACAGTTAAATCAACATTGGTTAGTGGCATGTACACATCCTGCTGGTGGAACATACCCCTGTAATTATTGTTCCAGGTGAAACACACACCTGTAATTAAGAATGTGTGCCTTCTCCACTGGACTGGATTGTTTTATTACCATATACCTTTATCCATGTCCACACTCCATTAAGTCCAGGTGGGGCAGGCCATTTAATCAGAGCAACAAATTGGATCTTTTATTAATGTGATCAGTGTCACTTGTTGATCACTTTTAACTAATTCTTGGATAACTGTATATGCATTTTGCCCGTTTATCCACAAATCTGATAATTCCTTTGAACATTAGTGTCAGATCACACTGAATAATCTGTCTCTGGCTCCGTCCCAAAAGCTAGAATCAGAATTGTTTTTTCGCGTAGTATCTGTGAGTCCAACACCTGAGAAGCTTACATCAATATGTGCACAGGTGTCCCGGCAATAGAGGATCATTGCGGATTAACAGCACTAATTTGCAGAATGTCTGAAATTTAAAACAAAAAAGTTGTGACAAAATGATATTAAATGGGATTAAATATGTAAGTTATGTGGATAGTATTAAGATTAAGTATATCATCTTACAGGTTGTTTAATTCTTAATACAGGATAAGGTAGGATGACGTGCGTGACTCACTCAGTGTTTGTTGGTTTATGTAATTAAGCAATTAAGCAATCAAGCAAGCAAGCATGCACTCTCTCAATCTTGCTCTCTCACAAGAAAACTAACTTAATGTTTGAAAGATGTTAAAACAAAAGGAGGTACACTGCTGGTTCCTGAAATCAGAGACTAGCTCAATCGTATATGAGCTGAAAAAAATGTAGTTCTTGGGATATAAGCTTCAATTAATATTTCTGATATAATATTCAATATATCCCTAATAAAAATATCAAGGATTGCCTTCCTGTTATATATACTACACACACCCTATTACAATAATTACCATCTGTATGTATAAGGAAGTCCGATATATACTACACACACACCATATTACAATAATTACTGTCTAATAGTGGTGTGAAGAGCTTCAGGACAAGGGGAGGTTTGAGAAAGGGCCTGTTTCCTCACTTGCATTACACTTTATGTTTACAAGGGGCCGCCTTGAAGGAGCGACCGGCCACTACACTCAAGTCAATTGCCTTTGTGCATGCAGGGAGTTGACGAGCCACCCTTTTCAAATTCTGTGTACCTTTCTGTGCTTGTGTTGTGGACGATCGCACTTTCAGCAGGCGAGACTTGGCTCCTCTGCACACAAACCCATCATTGCAAACATTTCATCTTACGCCTGGGAGTCAGAAAAACATGTCACCCAGTGCCTGCAAACACGTTCTTCGTTGGGGACAGCAACATCTGCGACAGTGGTGATGGTGCGTAGTGGAGGCATGGCTGTTACTGATGGTGCAGCATGGAAGCTTGGGTGTTTCCCAGGTTTGTCTGGCGGCACTCTTCTTGCAGGATTGAGTATGGTTTGGGGTTGATCTGAGTCTTTAGATGCTGCTGATGAACCTGGTGGAGGATAGTTGCCTCAGTAACTGTACCAACGAGACCTGGAAATATAAATGATTCTGATTTTCAAAGATTGATAACAATTTTGAATCTGTTAATGTTTCTACCTTTTGCATATGTCCAAAGCTTTATTTAAGCTTAAGTCAAGGAAATCTCCCAGATTTTTATCAAAGGGGTTTGATGGGTTAGGGTCAATGTTTTGGAATATACTGGTTTAGTTTGGCTTGGGTATTAAACTCAAAGCAAGTTCAGAAATATGGGATTCTTTCTAATTATGGTAATTTATTTGCCATGGCATGGTGAGATATTATCATTGCTAAACTGTCATGCTGTAACAGATTAACTGCTGTAAATTGAAAGGATCAGGTGTTCTTTAAGGGCGGTGGGGACGCCTAGTGGTTAAAGCGTTCGCTCGTCACGCCGAAGACCCGGGTTCAATTCCCCACATGGGTACAATGTGTGAAGCCCATTTCTGGCGTCCCCTGCCATGATATTGCTGGAATATTGCTAAAAGCGGTGTAAAACTAAAATTTCTTCAGCTTCTGCTTCTGTCATTGCCTGCCCTAAACATGGGCATTTCTCTTTTGTAGATCACAAAATGCTTTATATAGTCTGAGCTCAGTAGTTTTGTGGAGATAGCCAGTTACATCAGCTCAGACAAGACGCTTCGATTATAAGATAATTCTTGGCTCTAGGGCTGTCGGCTAGTTATCTAGCACTCAATGAGAATAACTTCAGTAAGAATAGAAGATCTTGATCAACTAGAACCTGAGACTTACATTAAGTCTCTGAAATAAAAAAAAACAAATCTTTTTAGTTTGTATGGGTTAAATTGTATTTTTAGATAAAATTCCATGAGACCAAGATGATATCTTCATGACATCTTCATGATATTTACACTTGGCAAAGTATTGTACACTTGCTTGGTCATATTCAGATATGTTTGTTTCTGCTGCTTTCAGGAAAACAGACCGCCTCTGTGGTGTAGTGGTTAGAGCGTCCGCCCGGAGAGCGGAAGGTTGCGGGTTCAATCCCCGACCGCGTCATACCAAAAGACGTTAAAATATGGTACTTCGTGGTCCCTGCCTGGCGCTCGGCATTAATGGGTACAACAAGGACTGGTCGGCTCGGAGTCAGTATAATGTGTCTGAGTGGGGTATTCATGCTTCACTGCGGCATGGTATCTCAGTGGGCTAGCACTATAAAACCAGCTGCAGTCTGGGCTAGTACAAGCAGCCACACATACACATACACACGCATGCACATCGTCATATGAGCGAAATATTCTCAAGCACGACGTAAAACCCAATTTCACCTCGCCTCACCTCACCTCACCTCACCTCACCTCACCTCACCTCAGGAAAACATAGTCTACCTTCAAGATCCAAGGGAATTAATGTTAAAGGGAGCCCAACTCAAGATAGAGCAAGTCTAGATTGCCTCATCCTTTTGGATATTATTATATTCATTTGTTTTGTAGAAATACATTTTTAAATGATACCATTTTATTTCTGGGACCAAATATCAGTCAAAGGAAAACATGATCTGTTTGATTGGCATTTTAGAAGTGGTCAGTAGTAAGAAAGTAAGATACATTATGGATAACACTTTCTTTATTATATACGATGCAATGTTTTAGTATAGATTCTTATACCGTTGTGAAGCAGGATCTATACCGAAACGTCCATCATATATCCTAATGAACTTGTTATTCATAAAGTATCTTACTCCTTTCTTTTCAAAGGAAAACATGAAATCAGAGTATAGATATCTGCCATTCCTGTGAGTCTGAATTCTAGCAACAAGATCTGTCACTACAGAGCCAGGTTTGCAAAGGACAGATCACATGAAACCATGCTCCACCTAATCCGTGCGTGGTGTCAAAAGCTGGAGAGAAAACAAAGAAAGGAATCCCCAGATTTCAGGAGCACAGCATCTCTGTTCTGATGAATATTCTATATTAGTTTCCCGAACACGGTGCTTAACAGCCCCTTTTGTGTTTGGTGACAGGCCCTCACAGGGGGCTGGTGAGGAAACTCCGGCAACAGATCCTGGTGTCAGACCTTGGGTTCCAGCATCAAGCGGAGGTGATCGCAGGCCAGACTTACAATAAATCAATACTGATTTCTTCTACTCCTCCCCCACCCCCACCCCCCTAATACTGATAGTTCCCGTTTGATCGGGGATGACCAGTAGACAATGGTGGAAGGTGAGTCACATTGTCGAGGTCTAGTGGGTATATTCACCGATCTCTGACTCACAGTGAGGACAATGAAGACACACAGAGCTTCTTACAGAATCAGTCTGCAGAACGTTGAGCCGACTCGTTGGTCGCACCCTTCTCATGCTTCCCAATTTGTGACTAATATGCATTTTGTCAATACCGTTTCGGGGAGCTGGGAAATTCATCATGCTGGTTTTAAAGCCTCTTGTCTCATAATGTTGAGTAGCTCTTTGAAGACTGCCAGATTCTTTCAGAAAACACATTTCTTTTCTCATCGAGGGACTGGAGAGACATGAAATTGCCTCTCGGAAATTTAAGAAATTTCAGCTAATGATAGGGTTCATCTACACATGGAGACTCACATGTAACCGCTTCATGGTTTTTGTCAATTGGCGTCCAAAGAAATTTAATATTTTGCTGAAAATTAGCATGGTGTTTTATTGCAGGCATTTCAGATGTAAATTTGCAGATATTTTTCTTTACTTAACACATGCAGTGCAGCACATAAAGGACAGGCATCTGTACTCTCTTGTTTTATAAGGCGGCTTTAATGGCTGGCGTCGAGATCTGATTACTGCTGCACCATGCACACAGGACGTTAATGTGGGTACTGAAGTGGACTTAATCCACGAGCTTGGGGGTCACACCAGGGAGAAGTGCTGCAGATTACCAGACCCCCTGACCTCTGGGGCTTACTCTTGTTGAGCAAACCACCAACAAAGACAATCTTATGCACGGGTTTGACATGGAGATAGGTGTGTTGAACATAGAGAGGTATTTACCTACTGGTTTATCAAAATGAGCTAGAGTATCAGCCTTCTATCATGTTCAGTATCTTATATGTAGCATGGCAGTCAGCCAATTATGATAAGCAAGGAGCAGGCAATGCTGAAGATGGTTGTGGCTGATCAGGTCATACATCGGGTAAAATGATACACCAAGTCAGCCAGGCCTGTTTAGAGCAGGGATAGTTGCAGTTACTTTCTGCAGTTCGTCCATTCTCACTTTAAGATGTATGTTGGGTGATGGATGATGGCAATCAGGGGGGTGTTTAGTTGTTGTTTTTTTTGTTTATTAAACACCAAACTCAGCCATATTCCATATATATGGCAGTGGTCTGTAAATAATTCAGTCTGGAGCAGACAATCCAGTGATCAACACCATAAGCATCGATCTGCGCATCTGGGATACAATCAGATGTGTCAACCAGGGTGGTGTTTAGGATGTATATTTGTGGTGATTTGGGTGGTAAAGTCTGGAGGTAAGCAGGGTCTTCATGATGGGGGTGAGGGTGATGGCATCCATTCCACTTCACGATTCATGTAACTTTGAGGGAATTAAAGACTCTTATACCATATCTTTATAAGAATAATACCCCTAGAATGTGTTCCAAATACATGTTTCAAATATAGATGAGTAACCCGGAATCCCAGATTCAAATATAAACATGCCCACCAGGCAGTATTGCACCGTATATTGTGACTTTTACCCCACCCTCACCTTCGCAATGGAGGTAAGCTGTAGTGCTATTTCATTGCATGAGTTTCATCTTGTGTTGGGCATCAAATTCGTTTCTTATTGTTTGAACACTTTCCAGATGAAAATTTCTAAATCCTCAAATGAACACAAAATTATGTTTTCCCAATTTCATTGCATTTTGTTGATATTCTGGTAACCGAATCGACTTGAACCTCCCATAGTGCATAAACCGCATGACTCCTTGCATCCAAGTGACTTTTCTCATCAAAGATTTGGAATCTCAGAAATGTAGAGTAAACAAGATAAAATAAGTGATAATTGTGATAGCACATGAGAGGTGCAGAAATATATGGAAACATTATCCGGACATGGCTGTATGAAGTCATCAATGTGTTTCGTACAAGCCAACGGCATTTCCCAAATATTATTGTTCCTGTGTATAACTATCCAAGGGTTTATCAGGGTTTGTCTGAGTGCCCCTGGTTGACTAACTGGGTGGAAAATCATCATTTTTTAAACATTTTTTAAAAGTTCCTGTTTCCCATGTTTGACTTTACAGTAATTTAGAAATAGGCATTAAGGACTCAAAATTGTGATTTGTCTAAAGTTCTCATTTTCTGAAATTCTGATATTTTGTCATTGCTGTATGTAGAAATAGGCATTAAGGCCTCTGAGGATTTACTGGTGCTCCTATCAGTAATATACAATTACTTCCACAAAGCCGACCAGTGAAGACCGGGTTAGAATTGGTCTTCAGCAACCCATGCTTGTCATAAGGGGAAAATAATGGGATCGGGTGGTCAGGCTCGCTGACTTGGTTGACACACGTCATCGTATATCCCATTTCTGTAGATCGATGCTCATGCTGATATCACTGGATTGTCTGATCCAGAATCGATTATTTATAGACCACCGCCATACAGCTGGAATATTGCTGAGTGTGGCGTTAAACAACTAACCAATCTACAGAGCCACGACATGATAGTGATGATAGTGATAGCTTGTGATCAAACAAGCAATTTCTTATGATTATGGAAAGGTTATAATCACTTCTATTACAGTTGATTAACATAAATAGGAGAAATTCATTTTTGAAAGTTTAAGTGATATTTACTCAACGCTTGGGGCTAAATAATCACCTCGGAGCAGATCTGGATGAAGCCATGATAAGGAGAATGTTGAAGACAGATTGATGAAACAGCGAGGAATTATATGACAGCAGTGTTGTCAGAATAATCCCCGGGGAATTCTGCTGGATTCTGATGAAGGGTTCCAATGATCAGTATGTATGAGACATCCAGAATGATGTTGATAACACTACAGTAGGTTTTAAAAAGCTCGCTGCTCCCCAGATAGCGATAAGCCTACTGTAATTTGTATACATCAGAATATCAGACATTAGCAGCATGAGATCTGACAGGTCTATCGAAATGCTCGACAGTCAGGAAAACAATTACCAGGAATATCTCACCGAGAAGCATCTGACTTTCAAATGTATTGATATTACATTATACAGCTTGTGGTGGCCACTACAGTGCAGGCTTGGAGGGAGCAGTGGATTGTTCCACAGCGATACTGAATACTCTTGTAAACTGAGGGAAGGCTGCTTCTGAGGACCACGCTGATGGGAGACTTACCACTGATGGGAGACTTACCTCGCACATGTAGAACTATACTGCTGATGATGTATTTGTCATCATGAAGCATGAGACGACACCGTGCCCCTCGTCCTACCGATTCGATGTGGTCATTGTACTGACATATCACTCAGCCACATGGGAACACACAGCCAGCAATTCAGTGGTGACAAAATCATTCTCCAGTGTTAAAAAATGTCCTACAGAAGTGGTTGACTGAATGAAGTTGAAAGGCTGTACTTTGTTGACACTGGCCCAGTCATGAATATAGACTGCTTGTCACAGAGTTCTCATGCCAGCTTACAGAGAATTTGTAGTCCGTCGTCACGTTGTCTTGCCGAGACTACCACACTGTTGTGACGAGCACTGCTTCAATCTCCGCTCTCTCCTTCGATCTCCTGGCTAAGCCCTGTCTGTCCCTTCTGAAGGCTTAGTCTGCCACTGTGAGGTGTAAACTGACGAGGGATTTACCCTCAACAGATAAACCCTCTTCAATCTTATTGGCTCGTAGCTGTGACATGAATACCCAACACAACTGCTGTTTGAGGCTCACCGGTGTTTCCTCCATTCATGATTCGCACGTTCTGTTGTATTCAGATATTACATAATTTGTAGAGAGAGAGCAGTCATTTCCACAGGGTCCTGTCGATGTTGTTGTCGCTCTGTCCCAGACAGGCCTTTGTCCCAGGGTCCTTCCCCTGCCTTGGAGCACCTGTCAGTAGACTGTGTCCTCTCATCTACAGATGAATGACCAGGCACAGGTCACACTAGGCAGTCACAATAAAGACACAAACTGCTGACAGAACACAGCTTTACACAGCTGCAGGACACTTTTCTTTATTTCCTCTTTCTTCAATTTTTAAGATTTTTATTCAGCTAACAAGACAATGTTAGTTTCTACTGTGGAAAACAATATTCCAGCTGTAATATTGTAGCTTGTTAATTGCAACTGCACTGTGAAACTTGTAAGTGTCATGAGCAATGACATATTTCTTTGTTGATACAGTGACTTCAAACTTCCCAAGTCTCAGAGACTGACCACCCAAATTAGTTTCGTGACACTGAAGACAATCAGTAGTTCTAAGTTTCTAGTCTGGATCCAATCAGGACACAGGGTAGACAGTATGTACTAGCCAGTATGGACATCTGGGTCCCTCTCTAAGGACACAGGATCACTTCACCTTATAGATATAATACTCAATGTAAGGAGGCGTGGCCACCTCACTTCTGAGGGTTTAACAGGAAAAATTTTCCATGTAAGGACACCTGACCACCTCACTTTGCTATTGATAAAGTACTCAATGTAATAAGACCTGACAAGTTCAGTTCTGAGGGTTAACTGCAGATGGAATACCCCATAGCACATGACCACCTCCTCAGTTCTGAGGGTTTACTGCAGATGGAGTACCCCATGTAGCACATGACCACCTACCTCAGTTCTGAGGGTTTACTGCAGATGGAGTACCCCATAGCACACATGACCACCACCTCAGTTCTGAGGGTTTACTGCAGATGGAGTACCCCCATGTAGCACATGACCACCTCAGTTCTAAGGGTTTACTGCAGATGGAGTACCCCATGTAGCACATGACCACCACCTCAGTTCTGAGGGTTTACTGCAGATGGAGTACCCCATGTAGCACATGACCACCTCAGTTCTGAGGGTTTACTGCAGTTGGATTACCCCATGTAGCACATGACCACCTCAGTTCTGAGGGTTTACTACAGATGCAGTTACCTATGTAGATACCTCTCTTTGGAGGGTTTGCAAATGAAGTATCCCCTGTATGAACATCATTTCAAAGGTTATACTACAGACTTCAAAACACCTGCCTGACTGGAGGCTGATTTCACATATTGTAGAAAACTTAGTAAGCCACAGTTTTTATATCCCATAAAGGTAATGTTCACAGTTTATGGCCTCAATGAATAGCTCAGGGCCTGCGGTGCATAAAGACGGTCATTGTGGTTGTAGTGATTTCACTTCCTATTGTTTGTTCAGTATTAAATATCCAATTACATGTACCAAGCCTCAAGAAAGGTATTATATTGGCTGCAGAGCTGCTCAGACGAATGCTCCTAGGTTCCTTGGCACAGATACAGTTTATAAAAGAAACTAAACACCCTTTCAAGCATGCATGGTTGTGAGTGTTTAGAAGTTTCAAACTGGTTTCCGTTGATGTTAAATTTCACGTGGCCAAGAAAAGGTTTTAAGTTTTGTTATTGAGTGCACTGGTTGATTACGCTGAAGGTACACCCATACCCACACCAGACCAGACCCCTCTACAGCTGACCCAGCATGGAGTGATGGTTGAAACATCACCCCTCGACACACCCCTCTACAGCTGACCTGGCATGGAGTAATGGATGAAACATCACCCCCCGACACGCCCCTCTACAGCTGACCTGGCATGGTGTAATGGTTGAAACATCACCCCCCGACACGCCCCTCTACAGCTGACCTGGCATGGTGTAATGGTTGAAACATCACCCCCCGACACGCCCCTCTACAGCTGACCTGGCATGGTGTAATAGTTGAAACATCACCCACGACCCCCACGCCCTCTACAGCTGACCTGGCATGGTGTAATGGTTGAAACATCACCCCCGACACCCCTCTACAGCTGACCTGGCATGGAGTGATGGTTGAAACATCACCCCCCCACCCCTCTACAGCTGACCTGGCATGGAGTGATGGATGAAACATCACCCCGACCCACCCCTCTACAGCTGACCCAGCATGGAGGTGATGGTTGAAACATCACACACCCCCCACACGCCCTCTACAGCTGACCTGGCATGGAGTGATGGTTGAAACATCACACACCACCCCCCGCCACAGCCCCTCTACAGCTGACCTGGCATGGAGTGATGGGGTGATGGTTGAACATCACCCCCCGACCGCCCCTCTACAGCTGACCTGGCATGGTGTGATGGTTGAAACATCACCCCCCGACACGCCCCTCTACAGCTGACCTGGCATGGAGTGATGGTTGAAACATCACCCACCCCCACACCCCGACATGGTTGAAACATCATCCCTCTACAGCTGACACTGGCATGGAGTGATGGTTGAAACATCACACACACCCCGACACGCCCCTCTACAGCTGACCTGGCATGGAGTGATGGTTGAAACATCACACACACCCCGACACACCCCTCTACAGCTGACCCAGCATGGAGTGATGGTTGAAACATCACCCCACCCCCAACCCACCCCAACACGCCCCTCTACAGCTGACCCAGCATGGAGTGATGGTTGAAACATCACCCACCCCAACCCACCCCAACACGCCCTCTACAGCTGACCTGGCATGGAGTGATGGTTGAAACATCACCCCGACACCCCAACCCCCTCTACAGCTGACCTGGCATGGAGTGATGGTTGAAACATCACCCACCCCAACCCACCCAACACGCCCCTCTACAGCTGACCTGGCATGGTGAAACATCACCCACACCCCCTGAAACATCACCCCACACGCCCCTCTACAGCTGACCTGGCATGGAGTGATGGTTGAAACATCACGCCATGACACATCCCTCTACAGCTGACACAGCATGGAGTGATGGTTGAAATATCAACCCCCCGACACGCCCCTCTACAGCTGACCTGGCATGGAGTGATGGTTGAAACATCACGCCATGACCATGACACGCCCTCTACAGCTGACACAGCATGGAGTAATGGTTGAAATATCAACCCCCCGACACGCCCCTCTACAGCTGACCCGGCATGGAGTGATGGTTGAAATATCACGCCATGACACACCCCTCTACAGCTGACACAGCATGGAGTAATGGTTGAAATATCAACCCCCCGACCCGGCCAACCCACCCCATCTGGCGTGGAGTGATGGTTGAAACATCACCCACCCCAACCCGGCATGGCTGACCCAGCATGGATGATGGTTGAAACATCACACCATGACACACCCCCTCTACAGCTGACCTGGCAGCATGGAGTGGTGGTTGAAACATCACACACACCCCCTCTACACACACCCCTCTACAGCTGACCTGGCATGGAATGTGATGGTTGAAACAGTACTCCTCCACACGCCCCTCTACAGCTGACACAGCATGGAGTAATGGTTGAAATATCAACCCCCGACACACCCCTCTACAGCTGACCCAGCATGGAGTGATGGTTGAAATATCATGCCATGACACACCCCTCTCTACAGCTGGTTGAAATATCAACCCACCCCCCTACAGCTGACCTCATGGAGTGACAGCATGGAATGATGGTTGAAACAGTACTCCTCCACACGCCCCTCTACAGCTGACCCGGCATGGAGTGATGGTTGAAACATCACCCTTTGATACCCCCCTCTACAGCTGACGCAGCATGGAGTGATGGTTTACAGTCTGTGTGTACACTGTCGCCTTTCCTTTGTGCATTACCAGCATTTTCACTGGTGAAGATAAAAACGTGCCAAATTTGCCAGCTTTGTGTGAGCACATTGTTTGGTATTCTCAGGTAGTGTGTATGTCCATGTTTAGCGGAGACGCTAGCTGTACCCATTGCACCGACCACTCCAATAAATCTCGCATTCCCGTGGCTCGTGTAAATATTGAACTCCGAGATGTGTGCAGATGCGACTTTGTCACTGCTTTTTGTTGCGAAAAAGTAATTGTTCCCATTTGGATGGCTTGAGATCCTGTTGTGATTATTTACTGAACATAATTTAATTTTATTTTTTTAATGCTAATTTATGCTATGAATTCAAATGTTCAATATTTCTCAGTGGTAGATGCAGTCTTGTTATGAGATTCCATTTTGAAAAATATCTGGGGATACTGTAATTGTATTAGTAATTAGTTTAGATGGATTTGTAATATACATTTCAACTTTTGATAAGGATATTGTGACTATCCACTGTTTGGAAGTATTGTCATGAAAGTAGTATCTGATATTCCAGTAGAAGTGAATCATGCTCAGAATGGTTAAAACATTATGATTCAATGATACATTGTTCACCATTTTGCGACAGTAGGAACAGTTCTGGTAACCATGTCAAGTGATTACTGGTACAGAACTATTGGCTTCCTTTAATTAACATTGTCCAGGTACTAATGAGCTGGTGAATGGTGACCATTGCTATGAATCTGTATGCATGTGTTCCGAAAGCCCTGGAGATACTCTGTCACTCAGCACACATACTGTTGGTCAGAGTTTGTTGTGCTGAGAGTTAAGTCTGGAGATGTCTAACTGTGTCAATACTGTGATGAACTGTGCCTGTTCCTCCGTGTCATTGTGGTCCTGTGAAGGTCTGAGGTCACTAGTACCCTGTGTTATTGTGAGAATGTACGGACATTGGAAGGAGTTCAGTACAAAATAGGTCCCAGTACCCAGATTGTGTCATTGTAAGGATTTCAGGAAAAAATACGTCCCCAGTACCCAGATTGTGTCATTGTAAGGATTTCTGGGCAAAATCGTTCCCAAGTATCCAGATTGTGTCATTGTAAGGATTTCAGAACAAAATAGGTCCCCAGTACCCAGATTATATCATTGTAAGGATTTCTGGGCAATTTCAAGCATCAAAATGTAAAGATTTCAGGACAAAATAGGTCACCAGTACCCAGGTTATGTCATTGTAAGGATTTCTGGGCAAAATCGTTCCCAAGTATCCAGATTAATGTCATTATGAAGCCAAGTCCACAATATTCTCAATGAGTCCCCATTTCTCCATTACATTT